AGTTCTTTATAGATAGGTCAAAAACAAAACAAACAACCGAAACCGAATCGAAATTTTATTTTTAGTTCGGTTCGGATAAAAATTTTATAAATCGAACCGACCCGAACAGTAACAGTTCGGTTTGGGTTTTTGTTTGGTTTCTTTCGCCCCTAAATGGTAAAAAAAAAGTAAAGAAATCATTGCAAATTCAAATAAAAAAATCAAAATCAAAATTTTGTGCAGTTGATTTTTTTTAATTTGGTTTTGATTGTTTTTATTTGCAATTTCTAATTTAAATATTTTATTTTAAATTGTTTTTTTCCATGAAGATTTATTTTATTTTAAATAACCATCCCATAATTATTTTTTCAAAAAAGTAGTTCAACCAACAAATTAATTTTTTTAAAACATTTTTTAATCTACATTTTAAACTCTTACTACACAATGAAGAGCATTGCCATTGTCAATGATGTGCTAGAAAATTTACATTGACTAAATCATAAATGCTACTTGGAATGGGAAAGTGTGGAAAATTGGGATCAAAAGGAATGATAAAAGGGGCATGTCCACGATGAAGATTGATGATGATCAAAGAATTAATGAAAGAGAATAAGGGAGTATAAATACAGAGATCAAGAGATGATGTTTGTTCACACGAAATTTCCGGAGAAATTATATTTCGTGGAGTTGAACTTTTATATTTGTAGTATGTGTTGTATAGTGGATTCAATCTCTAATCTTTATCCTCTGATTCTTTCTCTTGAACTTGATGTGAAGATTGAAATGCTTGTTCTTGAATTTGGATCGAAGTTATATGTTCTTCGAAAGTTTTCAAGTTTTCAAGTGTTCAAAGTCTTCAAGTTGGTCTTCGAATCTTCAAGTCTTCAGAGAGTCTTCAATTTGGTGTGAATTCTCTCAATTCTGAAATTCTGACCCCTTAAAATGAATGAGATCCCCTCTATTTATAGAGGTTTCCATAGGCTTTGGTGGGCCATTGGGCTTGGGTAATTTTGGGCCAAGCCCAATTCTTTAAATGGATTTATTTAAATTTAAATATTAATCCACTTTATTTCATGGTAAATTGGGTTTTGGGCCAAGATTGTGAACCAAATCGATTCCAAGCCCAATACTCATATGACCCAATTACATATTTTAATTGTCAAATTATCTTTAATTTTAATTTAGGGTTAATATATAATTAATCCCTAAATAAAATAGATAATGACGTGGCCGTTTATGATTGGCCCAAATTTTTTGGTTCTACAAATGCCCCTTTTTCGAAATTTATGCCAAATATAATTGTGGCTGAATTTCGAAAATATTGTGCGATCAAAAAGATGAATTTAAGTCATAATTTTGAAAATATTAATCGTGGACCAAGATATCGTTGTAGGTCCAATTAAGAATAAATTTGCACAATTTAAAATGAGACATCTGAAATTTATCCATTGAAATTTAAATTATTTTCAGAAGTTTTTTTAACTTTGAATTTAATTTAAAAGTCTAAATATGATTCAAATTCGAATTTGGATGAATTTGAAAATTTGGAATTTATCCAACTTTAAATTGAACGCTGGATTTATAGTTCAAATTTGAATTTTGGATCAAATTTGAAAACATGAAATTTATCCAACCCAATTTAAAAGTTGGAATATAATTCGAATTCAAATTTGGGATGAATTAAAAATTTTTGAATTTATCCAACTTTAAATTAAACCCTGGATTTATGGTTCAAATTTGAATTTTGGATCAAATTTGAAAACATGAAATTTATCCAACGTAATTTAAAAGTTGGAAATTCAAATTTTGGATCAAATCTATGGTATTTATCCAATCGAATTTAAAAGTGGGAATATAATTTGAATTCAAATTTGGGATGAATTCAAAATTTTTTGAATTTATCCAACTTTAAATTAAACGCTGGATTCATGGTTCAAATTTGAATTTTTTGATCAAATTTGAAAATATGGAATTTATCCAAACCCAATTTAAAAGTCGGAATATAATTCGAATTTAAATTTGGAATGAATTAAAAAAAATTTGAATTTATCCAACTTTAAATTAAACGCTGGATATATGGTTCAAATTTGATTTTTTGGAATTTATCCAACGTAACTTAAAAGTTGGAAATATAATTCAAATTTAAATTTGAGACGAATTTGAAAATTTGGATTTAAATTTAATATCCAATCAAATTTAGAATTTGAATGAAGAATGATATTTGGACTGATTTGAGTTAAGATCCCGTCAGATTTCGATTTGATTTGAGTCAAAATTAACAATCCAATCAAATTCCCACCATAATTTGAAAAAGAAAATCATATTTGAGCTGAGATTTGTTATGGGTCAAATATAAATTAAGAATCCAATCAAATTTCCAACCATAATTTGAAAAAGAAATCATATTTGAGTTGGGATTTGATTTGTTATTCTGATTTGAACCCCAAATTGTTGCCTATAAATTGAGCCTTCTGGTGCATTTGTAGAAGCACAGCAGAAGTCGAGTGAAAAAGATGACTTCAAAATTTCTCCCATTCTTTGCTTTTTTCTTCTCTTCTTTTTTTTTTTTACTTCTCTTGTATTCAAATTTTAGAAAATATTTTTTTTCCTTTTTTTTCAACTTAAAAGTATTTCTCCCAACAATTTCTATTAACAGTGCGTTCTTTTTTTTAGGAGCTAATTTTATTTTATCGCTTCTTCTATTGGAATTAGGATATCAAACTTTCGCGCTTCACCTAATTATCAAGGTTTGTCTTCATCTTGTTTTTTTCTTTTCTCTTTTTTGTTTGTTTTTTCCTCTCTCTTGCAGCAAAGATACTCCATGGATTTACAAGACCACCTAATTTGGTGAAGTATCTCTCACGGTTACCATCCTTTCGGGGATGACGCCTATATAGGGATATCATCCGGCTCACACAT